AGCGAGATTAAACAATTGTGCGATAGTTTAGTCAATGGTGTGCGCGCGATCTAATAGTCATAACTAAGTTAATAAATAAACAGTTAAAATATTACATTAATTATATATATGTCGCAATCAGAAGAAAAAATCAATTTGAATTTAAGTCATAATTAGAACACGAGCGCCGTCAAGCGACTTTCGTGAGAACTTAGATTATTCTGAAAATAGGGACTTAGGAGTATGGTAAATGTGTTCCTGGAATTCGACTTTACCCATGACCACCCACATGTGATCTCGTGTAGTAATTCTGATATCGTGCTAGCTCAAGCCGATATATACATACTTATGAATAAACCACAAAATTCATATTTTAATTTTTAGTGGTAAGCGTATGCATGGTGCGAGATTTCTTCACGCATGCCATAAGGCCCGCATGCGGTAACCGTTTCCATTACTGCGCTGGGCAGTAGTTGACATAATAACCGATCTTTTTGATTAGTCGTTGACCGATATGCGAGGAATCCCCGCTGCGTAAGTTATTAGTTTATTAAATTCCGCCCTTGGGTACTTACATATACGTCAAATATAGAATACTAGCTTTCGCCGGCGACTCCGTCCGCGCGAAATTAAAAAAAAAACAAAAGAATCGTATATGTTCTTTCAGTCTATCGTCTACATCTATACCAAGTTTCATCAAAAACCCGTTCAGCCGTTTATAATATTAGTAAGACAACCTTAAATACACTGGGCACTTTTTCATTATCTGTACCGCATGTTGTACCGAGTAATGGAATTAATCCTTGGACAGTTCGGCGAAGCCACACAGACTAGATGAAATCCTTGATTATGAACTGAGCTACTGGCTTACATACTGTGTTATTATCTTAGTGTATTATTAGAATAAACTAGGAAATGAACTCGTAGTAGAACCAAGATTTATAATTTACACAATTTTCGTTCAATTCATTCAATTTACAAATTGTTTTATTGATCTAATATAAAAAAAAAACTAAAAAACAAACATTATACTTGAATTTGTTCCTAGTAAAAAAAAAAACTTGTGTAAACTGTTTCAGCTGTGGAGTTTTTTTTTTAAGTTTTGTAAGAAAAAGGTATACGATTGTTAAATTTCTTGCTAAAGTACGTGAAGATATGTTACAGAAACTACACGCGTGGGGAATAAGTTTTATTGTTACAGCTTTATCGTACTCTTAACTTGAACGCTGTTCTATTTTAAACTTTAACTTAAGAACTAAGCAAGAAACGAGCAATTTAAGAAAGTACGATATTTGAAACAAAGTATTTTTCATCGAATTCCGCGCTTCCATCTGCGTGGAATTAAACAAAACAAAAGCAAGTACTCTATACATTCTATATCTATGCCAAATTTTATCAAGATCCTTTCAGCAGTTTAGGCTACAAACTCTAACAAACATCCATCAATCTAAAATTTCGCTTTCATAATATTAGTAAAATCAAATGTAAAAAGGCATCTGCGATTTGTCTATGGGCATTGGTTTCACTATTTCAACCATTTAAGGTTGTTAATAAAAGAAGACCTTAGAAAACGTATCGTAATCGAGATGTGGCCCTATAGGCGCATGTTGGCCATAAGCTGGACTCAGAGAGTGACAAATGAGGAGGTTCTGCGACGAGTCCACCAAAAAAGGGAACTTTTGCAGACCATCAAGATGAGAAAAGTATCGTATCGGCCAAGTGCTCAGGCATGACAGATATGATCACCTCCAACTCATCTTGATGGGTAAAGTTGCCGGCAAAAGGAGTGTTGGTCGTCGAAAGAAATCGTGGTTACGGAACATCCGAGAGTGGATAGGAATTGCGAGTGCCGCCCAACTGTTTCGCCTCGCAAGAGATAAAGTCAAATTTGGAGAACTGACCGCCAACCTTTGCTAGTCGGAGAGGCACCTTAAGAAGAAGAAGGTTGTTAGTTTGTTGGTCACTTTATGATAAAAAAATAAGTCATTGGAAAAACAATATTTGAATATTTACTAAGTTAACTTATGAGACGATAGGGGACATAAACCAGAAAGTGTTAAAATTGAATGTGGATGGCTACAAAGGAAGAGGAAGACCTAAGAAAGTATGGATGGATTGTGTGAAAGAGGACATACTTAAGAAAGGAGTGGATTCAGATATGACGGCTGATAGAGATGTATGGAAGAGCAGCACATACTGTGCCGACCCTACATAAGGGATAAGGGCAAGTTAATAAACTAAGTTAAATTATGTCGTTGGTAAAACTGTATATTAATAAAGCTAATTTGTTAATTGGATAATATTCAAATGCAATTCCGATATCGATATTTCTAATTAGATAGATTAGATTATGGTTTTATTCCGTACTAGCTGTAGCCCGCGACTACGTCCGCGTGGAATTAAAAAAAAATCAAAACTGAGTAGCCTATACATACATTCTTCCCGACTATCCTCTACATCTATAACAAATTACATCGAAATCCATTCAGCCGTTTAGGCTACAAACTCTAATAAACATCCATGCATCTAAACTTTCGCATTTGTAATATTAGTATGAAAAATATCTTAAATTTCACCCTTCGCTTTATTTTTAAAATTTAGATTCTTGGGTCTTGTCAGTGTATTTATTAATATAACATAAAATATAATCTTTTTTAATAAACCTTGAATAATTAAAAGAAAACTGTGTTAAGAAGAAATAAGTCAACTTCAATCCTTACGTTTTATAGAATTAGAAACAGGAGCAAACATAAACAAAGATATTATATTTTTTACTTGGGTAGTTTTTCAATCTATAATATTATTGCCTCATTATATTTAAACCTCATAACCGAGAAAATCGCTAATTATCGAAACCAAATTACGTTGGTAGTAAAAATAAATGGAACGAATCGAATCCGACCACAATCCTCGTATAAACGGACGCAGACAATACACGACCACAGATAGACAACGACACATCTGCATAAATACATCGCGATTAAATTTCCTACGCTAAATACAAAGGAATACATTAAAGATAATATTAGATAACTAAGTAATCATTAAATCAACTAGTAATAGTTATAACAATAATAACTAACATCTAATATATTTATTTTACAAATATACAGGCATTGCCTAGTGTAGGCATCACCAGATTAATCATATATTAACCACAATTTGTATCTCTTAATTAGTATAACTGTAATTGTAATTGTTAATCCCTTATTTTTTAATAAAATTATTTCTATTCTTTTCTATATAAATGCGAGGTTTAGATGTTTGTTAGAGTTTGTATCCTATCTTAAATAACAATGAAATTTGGCATAGATGTAGAGGATAGTCTGGATTAACAGATAGGCTACTTCTTTTTTTAATTTTACACAGACGGAGTTGCAGGCGAATGTTAGTACTTAATATTATAAAGAGGAAAGATTTGTACCGTAATGAATAAGGGAGTGATGACTGAGATGACGGATGATAGAGTTATTTGGATGACGAAAATCCAGTTCGCCCTACGAGAGTAAGATAAGGTAGGGGAGATGATGAAACTCAAAAAATAGTGGACCATCTCCCTTACTTTATCCTACTACTGTAGGACGCATTGAGTTTTCGTCCTCCAGACAACTCATCATTCGTCACCTCAATCATCACAAAAACTACTAGACCGATTTGAAAAAATCTTTTTTTATCAGAAAACTACGTTGTCAGTGAGTAACAGGCTATATTTATTACTGTTATTTACTTCACCGTAGAGTCGCGGACAAAAGCTAGTCTATAGACAGATTACGAGTTAAGAACAAAGGTTAGGGTTACCACGCAGATCAATTTTGCCTTGAATTTACATGTATTATATTAAAAAAATATTGCTGTCTCTTTTTTTAAATGGCGAATGAGAGGGACGATATTATACTTATGTACAATTGAAAAATCACAGTCCCATTGACAATAGACAAGACGTAACATTGGCAATGGTCATTTAAAATGTTTATATTCTTTGACCGTAATAATGACAAAATTAATAAGAAAATTAGTTTTTGAACGTCTAAAGCCTGTTAATAATTCCTTTTACTAAACGATTATTTGAAGTAGGAAGTCGAGTTTTTATGACATTTTTTATATCTTCTTTTTTTTTAAATGGTGTTCTAAAATATAATTTTAATTTTAATGAGTTAAGAAAGAAAACTTACGTAAACCTAAAAAACAGTGTCACTGCAATCCGGGATACATAAAATAAGCATTAAAATACATATGACAAATACAATTTAAATAAATACTTTGTAGCCCTTTTAGAGTTTATAAATATATGTCAACCAATACGTCTAGTAATAAAATTACTTTGTACTAACCTTTTACTGTAAATGTAAGGATAATAAAATTTAATTCACACACATTAGCACAATCCACTTTCACATAAATCGTATTCCACAGGTATTTGAATAGAACTGATTTATACTCGATATTTTACGGGAGGAAATCGTCAGTAACCGACACGTGATCACAGGTCCGCGGTCCGCGAGCGACTGACTATGCCCGGGAGTTGCAGAAAAGCGCGGGAAAATGCGCGCACTTTTCTGTGATCACGTTGGTGTTCGTTCGTCAATTTAAAAGAAACCTTCATGTTAAAATCCCGCAATTTGAATAGATATGTAAATTCTTCTTTGGTTAAATACGTCGTATAACTTGAGAAGAGTTATACGAATTTTCAGACAGGACCAATGGCTTAAAGAATTACACTTAGGGACTGCTTAAGTTGTAATTAAACGTTTCTGAGATTAACATAAATGTACTCAATAGTTTGATCGTAGTCAGTTAAATATAACGTGAGAACAAATTTGATAAATTTGAGAATTTGGTTACTGAATTTACTATAGAGATGTGAATTTTGCCTCATTTTCAGGTATTTTTATTAATATTTTAGTTGGATAGAGTCAGAGCTTGCAGGTGACACGCGTTAGATAGCGTCCATTCTTAGTAACGCCTGGATATTTTCAAATCCATTTTATAGAAAAACTAGCTGTTCGCGTGCGGTTTCATCCGTATGAAATTATAAATTTATTGTTTGCATTTGTCAAATTCTCAATTGCAAATAACAAAAAATACCAATTACCTTACTATGGCAATCTTGCTTCCTTGATGTTGGCAGCAACTTATGGTCTCTTTCCCGCATTACGGTTTTTATCCAAAATATATACCCCCTAAGTTTAATGGCGTGAAAATTTATAGCCTAAAGCGTGACGTAAGTGTAGGGCTATTTATTAAATAAGTTTTATTCAAAAACATGCTGTAATTGCTGAGATCTTAGGCAACAAAGTGTGTGTTTACGCTTTATTATAATAGTATAGAAGTATAGATAAAAACCAGTAAATGAAATAATCCGTATTACTCGCTCTTGCCCGTGTCTATGTCCGAGCGGAATTAAAAAATTTCGTCGCGCGATTTTGAGCTAAACTATTTAACTACGTCGTAGTCTTAGACTCCAAAAATCAAACAAAAAAATGGGACCCACCTGCAAGCATTACCTTTCGGATAAAAAAAGAATTATCAAAATCGGTCCACTAGCGACGGAGTTATGCCGTAACACAAATAAAAAAAAACATACAGACGAATTGAGTACCTCCTTCTTTTGGGAAGTCTGAAAGAAGTCTGTGTTCTGCCAGCCAGTATTCTACGTCAATACCAAATTAAGATTCATGCAGTCGTTCTGGAGATATCTTTTAAAACTCATCTATCTACTAAAACATTTATTATTTTACTACTAAAACAATCGTTGCCTAAACCTTTCACTTGTTTATCATTACTAACTCCATCAATGCTTTCTGCTGTCAAAAGTATTTTGTTCAAATGACTTACGTCTGCCGACCATTAGATCTTAGACTATTATTCCAAAAAAGGCAGTCGCTAAACAATAATTGTCTTATTAATAAATCTCGGATATTCCCACTTTAAATAAACCTACATTTATTATATTTAACGGTGCGATAAAACGGAGATTCGGTAGACACTCAATTAGTTAATTAACAGGGAGAAGGGGAATCGACGCTTACGCCCGCTGAGGTCCGCCATTTTGTTTTGCCAGGGATATCTTATCGGTTACCGTTTACTCTACAATAAATAATAATTATTATAACGTGAATAGAATTCTTTGCATCTTTATTAAGGTAATTGCTATTGATTTGGATATATTTAGGATTTTTGTATGCATTGAAATGACTCGAAAACTACTGGGCCGATTTCAATTTCACCGTTAAAAAGCTACGTTATTCTATGAGAACAAAGCAAAGGGCAACAGTTAGTTAGGTATAATTTAATTTGATGTTACTGTGGACGGTTTTATGTAATTATAATTTAAATGTTATAGTCTAGAATATTCTGGAAAATTCGATTTACGTGAGATGGATTTTTCAGTTTTTTTTTAATTGCATGACGAAGTCAGAGGTAATAACTAGTGATATATAACTCGTTGAGTATGTTATTATTAGTAAATTATTCTAGTATCCATAAATCTTTTTGATATATCCGCCTACGTTTAACCCTTCGCCAAATATTTGCTTACGCTCAGATAGGCAAAATAAACTCGAAATGAATCAGAGTACTATAATAATTACGAATGAATACTTACCAACGTTATTATGTTTATTATCGTTCATCATGAAATTAGTACATACTTTATTCAAACCGTCTTGATACTTGATATCTAAATTTTTCAAAAAGATTTTTTAAAATACTTTAAAATGTTAAATACTATCACATATTTTAACTACATATAAAAGCTTCCCCTTTTTAATCTATACTGCTATTATAAAAAGATTAGGAAAGATTTATATTTTTGTATATATTGAAATAACTCAAAAACTACTGAGCCGTATTCAAAAATTCATTCACTATTAGAAAGGTAATTTATCAGTGAGTAACATGGGCTATATCTTGTATTACTTTTAAATTTCATGGGACGAAGTCGCGCCCAACAGCTAGTTACTAAATAAAATCGTTTAACGTGATATCTACCGTATTTCTTTATAAATATACTTGCTGTTCCCGTGCGGCTTATTCCGCATGAAATTTGAAAATTTTATTTTATTGTTTAAATTTGTCAAATTATCAATAGCAAATGTCAAAATGACATGACATTTTACCACGGGGAGTGTTCCGAGGAGTTGTTTGGAACGATTCCTGCCGCCGAGTTTCGTCATCGGACGACGCGACAGACCGCCAGGTACCATCCTCACCATCTCGATGGCTGGCATTCCACAACCGTGCGGTTTTCGCGGAACTTTCTGCCCCGCACAGCCGCGTTGTGGAACGGTCTGTCCTCGGCGGTATTTCCAAACCAATACGACTTAGGGTCCTTCAAGAAGCGAGCCTATCATTTCCTCAAAGGCCGGCAACGCATCTGTAGTTCCTCTGGTGTTGCGGATGTCCATGGGCGTCGTTGACCACCTTGGTGTACACGCCGCTCGTTTGCCCCCTTTTACAAAAAAAAAACATGACAAACCTTAGCAATTTGTCTTTCTTGATGTTGGCAGCAACTTATGGTCTCTTTCCCACATTAGAGTTTTTATCCAAAATATTTACCCTCTAAGTTTAATGGCGTGAAAATATATAGCCTAAAGCGTGACGTAAGTGTAGGGCTTTTTATTAAAAAAAGGATTATTCAAAAATATGGAGTAATTACTGACATCTTAGGCAACAAAGAAGTGTGTGTTTATGCTTTATTATAATAGTATAGATTTTAATTAATTAGAGCGGGCGACTAAAATATTGCACTACTGTTTTGCGATTGTTGATTGTTTCGCAGCTAACAACTGTTGATTTCAACTAAAATTCGAGTAGTGTACATACCTCCATATAAGCACAATAGAATCAAAGCAAGACTAAACAGTTGTGCGATAGTTTAGTCAAATATGTGCACTCTTAGTATTATTATGAAGTATTTCACGAGACTCTTAAAAAGAGTTTTTTAGGTATATCCCACTAATATGATTAAGCAACCGTTCCCAGTGAAAGAGATTATGCAAATGAATAGCGCGCACCTAACTCAGGTTAAACTGTTATTTTTAAATCTAATGGCAGAGCTTGCCGGTGAAATATTGTTACAATTTGGCATATTATAACCACTGAAGCTTCATAGAAAAATCATTCAAAATAAGCACATTTTAACTGAAGGTAAATTTCACTATAGCTTTGGTGCGAATAAAATTATAGTGTCTTAAAAAATCTGGCCAAATATTGAAACAACATTTAATTAAAGACACGCGTAAACTCCTAATCCCATTAACATTTTAACGTCTCACAGATAAGTGGCGTTTAGGATGCAAAGTGTTTAAGATTCGTTTCAGAACACGGCTGTACTCTACCTATGTTGTCTTCGACGTTGTTTATGCTATGATCAACTAGGTAAACAGAGATTTAGTAAACATTAATACGAGGTGTGAAAATAACTTACAAGATTTCTTTCATAAGTTAATAATGACAGGGTTATTATCTATATGAATACAAAATTGGAGTGTCTGTTTGTAATATCAAAAGACAAATTCCACATTCCGAGAAGATGATGTATTTGTTTCGCTGATAACGAAAATCACATTAAAAAAATTGTCTGTCTATCTGTACGCAAGCCGCGTTTGTTCCGGGTAATCTCCGAAACGGCTGGCAAGATTTCGACCGGACTTTCACTGAAGGGTAACTGACATAGACGGGCATATTATAGGCTACTTTAAATCTTTATATTGCGTGAATGACGTCGCGGGCCACAGCTAGTATTAAACACATTCAAGCAAGGAACAAATACATAGTAAGTGATATTACATAATTGCATCAAAATTGCGCTCAAAATCACAGATACCATATTGTAGTGATGTAAAAGCCACTTAACATTGACTGTGATGATATTTTCAGTACAACCAAAAACAAGGGTAAATCGGATTAGTGTTTCTCTGAAAATTTACACAAATACAGTTAAGTGAGAACAGTGATTTTCAACGAAGACATTGAAACAAAACAGTAGTTCAACAGTGTCTATATGTCTGTACTGCACTGTCTACTGCTCTGCTTTAATATGCTACCCCAGTGTGAAACTTTTAATGCATCAAAACGAAGTGCACTCAACGCACATCAAACGACCGTTATCACTATTTTATATTCTGGCGCCAGATGTATCTGAAATGCCTTGCGAACTACAATTATATTCTCTTGATACTGTATTCGATATTTATAATGTTTGGAAAAGTATCAAGATTAAAGCCTCATAATTCATTTGCAGTTGAAAAATATGAATGTCACGTTACCTAGAATAAATAATATGAGGTAATTAAATTAATGAATTTATTTTCAATTGATACCTGTAGCTGGTGACTTCGTCCACGTAAAAGATTCGATTTAATTATTTTTAATGAAATTTTCATTAAAATCATTAAAATTTGATTAATGTAATTGGATTCCAACAACAGGAAACTCCATTATACATGTTCAATGG